GTTGGCTTCACCATTCAGAGGGCCCCCTGCCTTTCTTTGCCTAGGGCCCCACATTTCTTTAACCTGCCCCTGTACCTAATGAAGGTTTCTAATTTTCTATGACAGGTTTTAAACTGAGGAAGCGGAGGATCATCAATGAGCCCACGGATGGGACGGGAAACTGCCCCCATCTAGTGGAGGCCATACCCTGCGAGGACCCCAGCTGCTTCGAGTGGCTGGTGGTTAAACTGGAGGAGTGTGTCCCTGACAACGAGAAGGAGTGTGGACCTGGAACACAAATTCCCCAAGTCCAGTGTGTTAACAGTGATGGTGAGTGGACTTAAAATAGACACATGAAGCTGTGCAGCATCATGGGGCTCCATGACACATGATGGGAAGATTTCAGCTGGTTTCTTTGACCTTTTCTTGGTTTCTGTTTGTTGCTCAAGAATTTAAATTTTAAAGGCGATTAAGCTGTGACTAAGTGTCTTTCTAAGACCCAAGAGAATCATGTCTGATTTTATTTTTTTATTTGCATCTTGAGGTACGTTTAGGAGGAAGGTTGAAAACAGCAGTGCTTCCCCTAAAGGTGTGAGCCACTAGAAATGATGAGGACTCCTGGATGGATGTCAAAATGTTTTCAGAAAAACTGAGCAACTGTCCGGTCGCCTCTGATTTTGGGGTTCTTGTGATTCCATTTTCTGCCTTTTTTTTTTCTTTTACATGTTTTTTTAATTTTTTTTATCCATGTTACAGCATTCAAAGGTTCCATCCGTTTTCTCTTAGTTAGCCATTGGTTGATTTAAGCCAATATAATTTTTATCTGTGTATCTGAGGCCACACGTTTTTGGTTGTTCTACCTTTTTTTTTTTGCATTTCCAGTCTTTAAAAAGGGCAAAAACTAGAACCTGCCCTAAAAAAAGAGCACAGAACTTAAGGTATGATCTAAAAACAGCATATATTTCTATATAAAGTGTACTTAGTTAGGTGTTTTGGTTTTGGGAGATATATTTTAATATGCACAAAAAAACCAACCATGTTTGTGTGAACTATGAAGTTTCCCTTGCAGCCTTCTGACCCAGAAGGTTTTTAAGCTACTGTTCTCAGTTCATCGGCTGATTAATGCGCAACATCATTAGTTTCCCATTTTTAAATTATTCAGATTATTATTATTATTTTCCCATGCACTGATTGGGAGTTTTTATTATATGTAAGTTATAAAAATAACAAGAAAAAAGGCTTGGAATCTATTAACACTCTTTGCAATGAATTTACATTATTTAAAATTTCTAAAATAAACGATTTGAGATGCTGCTGCTCAGAATCAGTCATGAGTCACACATTATTTCAAATTTAAATTTACCAAATCTGCATCTGTTAATTACAACCAAGAAAAGGTTGTCACAATAAATTACACTGACATCAAAGAATGTTGTTCTAATTTATGCTTAAATATTGACCCAAAAGATTTCAGGTTCATCTAAAAGTTATAGCCTTTCTATGCCTGCAGAGAGACGACCATTGGTCGGGGTGTGTCGGGGAGTGTGCGGTTCTAATGGGGGGGGTTGTGTCTGTTAATGAGGTCTCTGGGGAGGAAGTCACACAGAGATGGGGGATGTTAAATAGGTTAGATTTAGCTCCCATTCATAGAGAACCGCTTCTGTCTGTGAAACATCGGCAGGAAAGGTGACCCTGTTAACACATGAGATGAAAAGAAAACAATGAGACAAAGAACAACATTATCAGGTTAACTATATTCACATGTCATGATGGTTAGTTTTTAGTTTTTTGTAGAAATTTGGAAAAAAATTAAAGGTATCCATAACACAAAAATGTAGGATTCTTCAATAGCAAGGAAAAGAAAAAAAGCTGGGTGTAAATCTTTAACATATAATGTTGCATGGCGTAGGAACATAACAGGAAAGTACACAACAATCATAACATTTATGGACAGATAACTCATCTCTGCTTCATTTTGATCAGATTTATTTTAATAGAATAGAATATAAAATCCCTTTATTGTCCCACAATGGGGAAAGTTCATTTCAAATAATTAGAGACATATTCAACCAATCCAAGTCACATATATGCAAATAGATAGTATGGAAACCAAGGGGAGCATTACCATGCAGGAAGGAAGATGAGATAAAAAAAGAAAAATACAAAACCCAGAGCGTAGAGCTGGGCGATATGACCTCGTATCAATATCAGGATAAATAAAGCAGTTTTACGTCGATAGCATAAACGCTCCGGCTCCTCTATCAGAAATAAAGGCATGTGCAGGAAATGCAACTGATCTATTTATAATCTATTTATAGAGTAAATCACATTACATATCTTGTCTTGTACACATTCAAATTTTAAAAATTGAACAATGTCTCATTGAGCAGGAGAAATATTTTATCTCGCTAGCAAACATTTTGCTCAAAGTAGACCATAGGGGGCAGTGTAGGGTAAAGAACATTAGTTTACCACATAATATCTAGAAGTAGAAAAATGTCTCCACTGTGAGATCAATAAAGTCAATCAATCAATTGAAAAAACAATTCTTCCTATCAATTAATCGCCTGTTCGTGTCATCCCAGAGTGATAATCATTTCCTTCAAAAGCCGGCCATACACTGTATGATCTTTTCAATTGTTGCTCGCAGCTACAACTCAAACTGTACGACAAAAGCAAAGGGTTTGAAAGTTCACTGCTCACGATGTGTGTTCTTCCACTGTACGGCCCGACGCACTGATGCAATCTATCTGCTCACACTGCATGTCTAGAAACCACACGCTACACTCAGCACCGAGAGATGGCGCTGGTCGGACTCGTCAGTCTGGAAGAAGAACAACTCCCTTGTTTGCACATGTGCATTGCATAAGGTTCTGGTAAACTGGTTCTTAGCTCTGCTTCAACAGCAGGATTTGCTCACTAA